TCTTTCTACAATCTCTTTCCCTATAAGTCCTTAGATTTCCTTTTGCTCCTATAGGTCCGTAATATAGACTCTAACTACTATCCTCGGGGGTTTTAGCGCCTCCTAACTAGCTACTGCTGCCTAGGTGTAGTAGTTTAGGCTTGTCTCCTATTGTTTCTTCGTAATCTTTGCTACGACTGTATTAGCTACCTTTGTGATTACGTAGCTCGCCTAGTTGTAGATTGCTTTCAGTCCTCTAAGGAGTTCTAAGATTATTATCCTATATGCCCTCTTAGGGGTTCTTCTATCTTCTGCCTTTAGTACCTCCTCTGCCCTAGTATATAGTACTTTCTATTCGTCCTCCCTTCCTTCTTAACTGTCTTCCCTTCGTCTCTGATTGTTCGCTGCTATTTTTTATTTATCCCTTTATCTATAACAATATATAGACTCTAATTAATTATATATAGGCTAAATGAGTGCTATTACCGTAAGAATCTCCCGCTTATTACAAGTTTATATGTGTTATAGATATATAAAGATTGCAGCCTAAACGAAGCTAAGAATTCTTAGAAATCCTCTCCCTCCTTAGCGGCGGCTACTTCCGCCGCTATAATCTTATCCTATTTCTTCCTTATAAACTCGACGATAGCTTTCTTTAATCTTAACCTTATTCTATCTACTTTATTAAGTGCCGCCGGCTAGTCGTCCTTTATTAAGTTGCAGATAGTCTCTAGCGTCTAGCCTATACTAACGAAATAGGCGATATAGGGCCGTAGATAGTCGTAGTCCTAGAAATCGCGGTAAAGAGATACCTAGTCGAAGAATTCTACTGTTAGCTATTCGTACTAGACGATATTACGCGGTAGTATAATATTACGTAATCTAGTCTTAATAAGCGCTCGTCTAGGCGTACGAGAAGGCGTGCCTAGAATAATACCGCTACCTTGCAATTTATTATCGATAATGCGGCCGAGATCGTTACTAAAGTTGTTAAGGATAATCGGCTAAATTCTAGCACTTCTAGGCTTCCGAGGGGAGTTAGACTTACTACTACGGCGACCTCTTATCTTCTAGACAGTAGTCTTCTATATATTATTCTCGACCTTTCTCTTAATTAACTTAATCTCTAACCTTACCGGCAACCTATCTTCGAGAGCGCTAGTTTGCTCGTTAACTTTCTACTCTCCGGAAGCTATAGCCTTATAGCTATCGATTATAGCGGCTTCGAAGAATAGAAAGTAATTCTCGCTATAATCCTTTAGCTTCCGGTTACGCTAGCACGTATGCTTACTAGCCTTCTAGAAGTTATTATAGTCCTTTGTCGTATATAGAAAGTTACGGATAATCTAATAGTCGTACCGCTTCTAAGTCTCGAGTTTAGCTATTATAACGCTAGCGTTAGTAAGCTAAATTAAGGTTAGATTAGAAGCCGGTTTAACTAACTTCTTACCGCCTAAAGATCTAGCTGCTACTATCGCTTTAGGCTTCGTAAAGAAGTTAATATTAATAAAGACATTCTTACGCGAGGCAAGCGCTAATCCTTTGCTAGTATCTAGAGCTTTACTATAGACCTCGTCGCTATTAATATTATCTCTAGCTTAATACTAATCGCTAGTAAACGCCGTCTTCTAACTATCCGCTCTAGTACGGATAACGATACGAGTAAATGCCGCTAAGCTATATAACTTCGCTATCTTTGCTACTTATACGTATCCGTTCTAAGCTTCTTATTTGTTAGCCGACAAAAACTTTACTAGCTTCGTTGCTATCGTCCGCGCTGCGCCCTTCTTCGTTATATTAAATATAGTCTACTATCCTTTATAATAGAAGGTCTCGTCTAAGAAAGAGCTAGGTTAAGTAATAGGAACGTTGCCGGCGGCAAGCGTAGCCTAGCTACTAGTAGTAGTAGCGGCCTCCTACGTAGTATTAAAAGAGGAGGATATAGAGATTATAGCGAAGGAAGAAATAGCTGTTCTTAGTAGCGCTATACCGCTATTATCCTCTACCGGTAGTGCTATAGTCTCCTTATTTAGTAGACCCGAGGGATTAACGATTAGGTTAGGCTCTTCTATAGTAGTCGCTTTACCCTTCTTATCGCCGGAAGACTTACTCTTTAAGCTACCCTTTGCCTACTAAGCCGTATTAGTATTCCGTCTAATTAGCGGTAGACTAATAGCCTTCTTAAGAGTATAGATTACCTTCTTTAGCGTAGAGACAATTAATTCGTCGTTTAATCGCGCTAGAGGTACGCCGGTAGTTATATAAGTCGCTCTTATTGGTATTATTATTATAGTATAGTACTTAGAAACAGTTAGAATACGCGTATAGGGCTCGAACATACGATTATCCTCTACTCGACGACGACAATTAGGAAGAAACACGATAAAAACCACGTAAAAGTGCCCCTATTGCCTACCCCTATACGGCTTAAGAGAGGAGGCGGCTCTGCGGACCGTACTGACAAGTTGGACTCAGCACATAGTACCCAAAAGTCTATTTAAATTTGGAGCCATGCCATCAAATTCCTCTGTCCGTGTGCAACGTACAGTACATACCCTCAATTGCCACCACCGAAAGCACGCACAAGCTGATTACAGTACATGCTACGATACTGACCATATTGGACCAATGCTGTACGGGACGGCAAGGTGGCTGATAGACGCGTTGGATCTGCGTTAAATCAGATGGCTAAGCCCTTGGAGGACTTGATCGCGATATGATTCGAGGCAGCCACATAAAGAGCTTGGGTATGCGATTATCTTTACAGAAAGTGTCGTAACTTCATCGCGGAACCTTTCGGATCATTGGAAGACGCCACAGTGAAGACGTCTTCTGTCAGTCTTGGCAGTTGCTAGGGCGAAACAAGAATTCGGCCCTGAACACTCGGGATCGAGCAGGCCTCAATACATGCGCTTAATTTGGAGTTCTGGAAACATGTTGGTCTAGTCTCGGAAAAGCGCGATACGGCTGCCACTTTCCATGGCGGCTTCTGAGATGGTCTTGACGTCCTTCGAGAGGCCTGAAGCAAGAGCTCTGTGAGGCAGTCTTGGATCTCCTACAGCCCCAACGTTGGACATCAACGCCCAGCGCACAGAACATGGTGCTCATATGGGGATGTGCCATGCGGCTTTCCGTACTCGCCTGGAGCTTCTCCTCGTAGACGGCTTAAGCGCGTCTCTGTCTGATTCGACATCAGATAACTTGCTAGGCCAATTTTTGCACAATCTTCCGAATGGGTGGTGCTCGTGATAGCAGTCAAGAGATAAGCAGATGGCTTGCTCTTGTAATTTGCCTCAGATTCACGCAAGAATGACTTTGAGGCGAAGCGCAATGCAGGACCACTTCGCGACGCCGTTGCCGTAACTTGAGGACCGCTTAGGCAGCGCCAATAAGGATATATGCCCAGCTCGGTATGTTTGACTGTCTTGATCTTTTAATCCATAGAAATGTAGTGCCAGCTAACGGGATTTCAAGACGCCATACGGCTCTCTCGAGTAAGGCTTGCTAAAGTGGGGCAGCACCGAGAATTGACGACCAATCGACATCTGCCAGAACACCCTGTGGTCAGCATCTTGCCATCTCTATCCAACGTGCTGGCCGAGCTTACAAGCTCTGTCCTTACATTGCTTTTTGTACAGATATATCTGGCCTGATGGATCCGGTTCCGGATGCTTCTACAGCTTCTTGAGATATAATCAAAATATCTTTGGGGCTCGAGGATTTACCTGCTACAGCAAACGCGAAATTCTGACGAACACAGCAACGCAATTGTTGGGCTACAAGCAGATATTCGGCGCTCGATAGAAATAGTCTTAAGACTCGTGCCATCACGATTTTGTGATGACAGTTTCAAGGTACTCTCATGCAGCCAGCTATCGGCAGTTGCTATTTTCATCTTGTAAAAGATTTTCGAAGGTAACGAGGTAGCTCGGCTGAATCAGCAAGTCATGGCGACAGCGACACTTATTGAGCACAAGAATAGGCTCTCTTGCGAGCCGCGACAGGCTCAACCCAAGCAAGGCAAAGCACTCGAGGAATCCGCCGAGAAGCTTAGATTCCAGGCTTCAAAGTTCAAAGCAGGATGCAGCACGAAAGCTAGAGGAACAACAGCGGAGTTCCTTAATGGAAGAGCTGTTCGAGGGAGATTTTAGTTGGAACAAGGAGTGGGAGGATATCGATAGATAAGGTCGACGGCTTCGCACGAGGCGCACAAACAGCGCTGACTTGTTAATGGGGGTGCTGGAGTATTTTGCCCTCCTCTATATCAAAATCCTCCCTATTCGCTATCCTTTAAGTAGACTTTAGAGCACTACAATTTTGCAAACGTTGATTTCTAGCATTCGAGACTATATTAAAGACTCGTATACGGCACCTAATCAAGTCTAAGCACGAACCCTATATAGAGTGGTACATTGACCGCAGACGCTGCACGCAGCACGCTTACAAGCAAATCGCATTCGCATATGAGATACTAACAACCGGGTACCAAATAGATAACAACCAGTTACGGACCCATTTTCATTTCATGCGTCTTAGAAAATACGAGGTCTTTGATTACACAGCGTAGGGGCAAAGCACAGTCGTATTTGCCCGATCCCATTAGGCAGACATAGTCATTCTCAACTTCGACAGCTCACAAAGCTCGATCACCATGTCACTATCGTCTATGCAAGAACGGCAAGAACTGACCGCATGACCCAATAAACGGTGAGGTTCCAAAGTGCCGTTCTCGTGGCCGGGCATTGGCCAGCGCCGAGACGCCGATCGTCGTGAAGCAAACAGCTGAAATGATTCGCTCGCAGCTCGGGTCTTGGCAAAAAGTGAGTGAAAGAAGAACCTGGACAGTCATCTTGTCCAATCATGTCAGACGTTTAAAACGTCGGCCGATGTGGAAAGAAATACAGTACATACAGGCCGTTCTACTGTCCGTTTCCAAGCGCCTCGAAGCCTGAAAAATGGGTTCATATATAATCCAGGCCTTTCTTGTTGCCAAGCTGTTGCAAGCAGCGCAAACGTACCTGTACCATTCACGACAAGCCCGGCACGAACCAGGCTGATCACCATGGCCACGATGCCAGCAGCTGATCCCCAAGTTACGCCAGAGGAGAAGACGACATCCAGAGGACCAGAGTCTGCAGAGAGCATATCTTCACGTGAGCACGAGGATTTTGAGAAGCGAAGAGAACATGTCGAGGAATGTCCGAGTCCTGAAGACAGCGGCGATGCCCTGGCTCGAAAACCATCAGAAGCTCCATCGGAATGCGAGTACCCTGGAACAAAAGAGACAATCATCGTGATGTCAGCGATTCTGCTCGCAGTATTTCTCATGGCACTGGACCGGACGATCATCACTACAGCCGTTCCTAGAATCACCGACGAATTCCATTCCCTCGACGACATTGGATGGTATGGTTCAGCTTTCATGCTTTGTGCTGCGAGCTTCCAGCTTCTCATCGGCCGAATCTATACCTTTCACTCGCCGAAATGGGTATTTCTCATCAACATCACCATCTTCGAAATTGGCTCTGCGATTTGCGGTGCGGCTCCGAACAGCGTCGCGTTCATAATTGGCCGTGCTATTGCTGGACTCGGCTCTGCAGGCATCATGTCTGGCGCCATCATCCTCATGGTGTCTGTCGTGCCTCTCGCCAAGCGTCCTGCGTACCAAGGATTCTTTGGAGCTGTTTTTGGAGTCTCTTCGGTAATTGGTCCCCTACTCGGAGGTGCTTTCACAACAGATGTCTCGTGGAGATGGTGCTTTTATATCAATTTGCCAATTGGCGGAGTCGCGATGCTTGTGATTGCGTTCATCCTCAAGCCAACAGTGCCGGCAATGCCGGGACTTACGCTTCGACAGCAGCTTGCTCAACTGGATCTCCTCGGCGAATTGTTTCTGCTTCCATGCATTATCTGCCTTCTAATAGCTTTACAGTGGGGAGGTGCAACTTATGCCTGGTCCAATTGGCGAATAATCGTCCTCTTCGTCTTCTTTGGAGTTGCGCTCGTGGCTTTCGTAATTCAGCAGTGTCTGATGCAGAGTGTGGCTACAATTCCCGGCAGAATCGCCAAGAATCGCAGCATCCTCGCCGGAATGTGGTTCGTCATCTGCTTAGCTTCGACGATGATGGTGTTCGTTTTCTACATCCCGACCTGGTTCCAAGCGGTCAAAGGCACCAGCGCTGTCAAGTCTGGGATTGATACGATCCCTATGATCCTGGCTTTGGTGGTCGGTAGCATATTTGCTGGAGTCATGGTTGGTCGCATTGGCTACTACACTCCATTCGCGATGGCGGCATCGGTCGTCATGCCCATTGGTGCTGGTCTGATTACAACCTGGAAAACCAGCTCCGACAGTGGCGCATGGATCGGATATCAAGTTCTCATGGGTCTTGGCGTCGGAGTGGGTATGCAGCAAGGTGCAATGGCTGCTCAGACCGTACTGTCCAGAAAGGACGTGCCTACCGGAGTGTCTTTGATGTTCCTTATGCAGCAGCTTGGAGGTGCCATTTTCGTCTCCGTCGGCCAAAATGTTTTCCAGTCCTCGTTAATCAGCGGCCTGGTCCGCCAAGTCCCAGAGTTGGATCCGGTGACGATCGTGAACACTGGAGCCACGGACATTCGGAAGCTAGTACCTGAGCAAGATCTACCTCAAACCTTGGTCGTGTACAACCACGCATTGAGACAAGTCTTCATCGTAGGCGTGATCCTGGCATGCCTCTCTTGTTTCGGATCTTTCGCCCTTGAATGGCGAAGTGTAAAGGGCGAACAGGGCCCTTCTGCGGAGGAAAGGAACGACAGTCCATCCTCGACGCCCAAGAAGGCGGAAGACTCGGTTTGATGATGGCGGTATGGTAGTAAGAAAAGCATTTTATGAGCATAACGATTGTACATACATGTAGGCATGACATGATACCCAGCTCAGCAACCAGGCTAGAATGGTGCCGCAGAAGGCAGTAATTCGATGCAAATTTCGACATTGATCCCTAATTCCCGTCAACAGTCTCAATGTATTCACACAATTCAAATTCGATCTTCCTCACAGTCTGGAAGGTGTAGTAGTTAGTACTTCGTCGTGCCTGCTTTGCTTCAAGCGCTACCTTACATGCTTCTTACTCTTCTCTCGTCGAGCATGATTCGATTGGCAGGCTCAGAAGAGCGAGATAGCCGGGGTGAAATGATCTGCTCGTATACAGCTTGTTTGAAATAGACCTGCCACTTGATAAGGTGTGAAGTTGGAGCCTCAATTTCACCGAGGCCTTGGCCCTCTCAGCTCGGGATTTCTCCATTGACGTCGTCCGCGCCAACGGTTATGACCAACGGCCTCCTTTGCATGAGAGGAGGCGAACAACGCGTGCATGGAGCGTGGCGTGTGTCTCGGTGTCGTAGTTTGGAGCGAACGAAAACAACGAGGATCTCGCCGCAGGAGTTTCGAAATGTAATTCGTCATGCCAGACATGATCTCAGCCACAACCGCTCCTCGATGCAACCGCGGCCTGCGAAATCAATATGAGACATGTGCTCACAAGTTGCTCCAGCAGAGAGGATACTTTTAGACGCCCGGCCGGCCCAGTTTTGATCCAGAAATGCCGAATTCGATGCGAAAGTTGTGATGATGATGACCTTGCTCCCAAAATACAGTACCTACAGCTTCCCGAAACTCCCCCGAATCCAAATGGAAATAACCACATGTCTCATCATGCGCCTGTCATATCATCATAGCAATGACCAGGTTGATGACTTGCAGCCTCTGTGACAGGGGGGAAACAACAAACACGATTCCAAAGGTTTTTTCGCTTTTTACCTTATCTCAGTTCTAGACAGAACCCTATACTAGCATACCTGGCCCTATCCTTACATGATTTGGAAGAAAAACAACAACAACAACAACAACAACAACAAAGAAAGATCATCATCACCAAAAGGCAAAGACACGAATCACACGAGGGTGGGTAGAAAGTTCTTGACTACGTGATTCGTGTTTGCAACCATAACCTGGTATTCTACTGCAACTTGAGGCCCGGTTGTCACGACTGAGACTAGCGTTCGGCTTTTGCGCTCGAGCGGTGCGGAACGGATGAGACAATCGAATTCTGTACTGTACTACTGTACTCGATGGAGCTGCTGGTGCGGCACAGCAACACTCGGGTCGGGAATCAGCTTTACTGTAATGCTCCCACGCAATAAGCTTCTAGAGTTGCATGGTCGACTAGCGCCGAGATTGATTTGACAGGAGGCATACGGGTACGACGATCCGGGTTACAACTAACTCAACTGGCCGCACTTGTTGCTAGTAGTAGTAGTAGTAGTAGTAGTAGTAGTAGCAGTAGTAGTAGTCGCGTGAGTAGTGAGCATGTAAAGACATAATGAGAAAGGAAGTCCTCCCCTGAAGAAGAAGAAGAAGAAGAAGAAACGTCGTTCGTGGCTTAGACTACACTAGGTACTTACAACTTGCTCGATATACTCCGAAAAACAAAAAAAGATCATCAACAAGACAAGGTCCACGAAGCTGAGATGAAACTCGGTTGACCGGCTCGTCCTGGCCTCGGGCTGGAATTTTATGATTACTGCCACCTTTCGAGTTGTCTCAGGTTAGAATAATAATGTCATCGGGTATGTAGGGCTCCTGCCTTCATGATGATGGTCCCGTCCCGGATTGTTCATGTTCATCGTGATGAAACTACTCCAAGGGAGAGCAGACAGAGCAGGGCGACCACGCCGAAGCTAGTCGGACACACTACCAGTTTTGGCGCTGTCAATCGCTCGAAGCTTCTGTAACTGGTGGATGTCCCCGGACTGTAGTAGCCATGTTAGTTTCGAAGTCAGGTCGGCTCGGCGTTATGTGGATCAATTATTAACATTTCATCTCTATACGTCGATCCGTCGGCGTCTACATGGACCAAAGCCTGGCTTCAATTAATCACGCCGAGGCTTTTTCACATGGATGTTCATTCCTGCTGCAGTGCCCAAGCGCAGATGCTCGGTGCCGTAGTAATCATCATGGTTGTGGTCTCTATCTGTGTCATTCCCATCCATTATTGCATGGCCGCGCCTTTATTGCCCCCCCCCCCCCCCCCCCAAGGGAGTCTGAAACTTTTGTCGTTGTGGAAAGTATGGGGTAAAGATACATGCCGTAGAATAAAATTCGTTTCAAGAGTCGCAGTCCCGGCCTCCACCACGGCTCTTCTCACGTTTGTCGCGTAGCTCTGGACATCGTCTACGGTGATTAATGAACCAGTTACTGACTTGCGTCATGCTGATGCCAGTGGCCTTGATTGAAGTTAGCCACACATCTTGAAATAGGGCATGGCTGAACTTACATTGGAGAAAATGGCTTTCTGGTCTTCGCTGGGATAAGGATTCGAGATGTTCTGCTGGCATGTTAACGACCGGAAACAGGCCAAGTCGGACGATTTGCGTACCTGGTCAAACCACTGCTTCATGATTTCAGTAGACTGTTTCGGTAGGTTGCTCCGCTTGCGTGCTTTTCCGTGCTGATATTCGTAATGGCTCGGCATGAAAAAGGCTGGGGTATGGCTCTGGTAAGAATGATGTGGGTATCCGTTGATTGATCGAGGCTGTTGCTCTTCTGGTCCTGCATATCTCATACTGTCGCGAGGTTCTGCATATGCGTGTCTTACTGGGATTGAGTACCGACTGCCTTGCTGGTAAGGGCCGGGACGCGAGGGCTCGCGATCGTATGGCGCGGGAGGGTAAGCGCGATAGCCGCTCGTCGAGCCTCTTCGCGATGTAGGTCTTTCGTTGGAGTGTGAGAAGCTATCGCGCATCTCCCGCGCGAACGGGTCTTGCACCGGGCCCGGCATCGTGCTCATTCTGGGGAGTGCTGGCTCGAGAATTACTGATGTAGGGGTCTGTTCTGGTGTCTGGTAATGGCTAGCTGGTGTCTCGAAGCTGGATCGAGAGCTGGACGATTTCGCTGAATGGTACTGTGAGCCCCATGGCGGACTGATGGCTGCGTGAGGTGCTGTCAAGGTATGCATTGAAGGGCGCCTCGAGTCGAGATCCATCTGCGCCGACAAAGACGGATAATGGCTGCTGCCTCGTACGCTGGATCCATCTGGCCGCCGTTCCAACGTGGTTGAAGGCGGAAACGTTGGGTTGATCCTATCCGCTCCGGGGTATGGAGGAGCAGATCTCAAGATCGGTTCCGTTCGTTGCTTCTTGTTGGGATACAGCGCCGGTGGTTTGAATGTTGACGTTGTGTATGAAGGCTCTCTGGGACCTGGTTGCATAGGACTCGCACGAGGGCTAGGCGTCCGAGGCGGGCTGGAGATGCTGTCCCCCAGGACCTGAGTAATGTCAGTCGGGTGTATAGTGATGCGCTTGGTGATTACTAACAGTTTTGAGAGGTGGAAGCGATGGTTTCTGCATGTCTCCAGATGCATAAGGTGGAGAGTGAGGTGCACCTGTGTTCCGACTGTCGCGACGGAAGTGTGTAGCGCCACGAGGAAGACCTAGGGACATCGTCCGTGGTGGGCCTGGTCGGGAGAGCAAGTCACGAACTGCTGGGCCGCCTTCATACGGGCTTGTGCTGTCTAGAGCCTCGTTGCTGCTCCTGGAGTTCTCTGGCGTGGGAAGGCGGGGTGATCGATGTCGTCGATCCTTTGAGTGGTAGTAGTGCTCTGAGTGTCGATGATAAGGCTGAGCATCGCTCAATGACAGACTTTCCATAATCACCGACTCTGGCATGTTGAGGGAAAGATCGAAGGCGGAATGGAAGTCAGTGGTTGATGGCAACAGAGTCAACAATAAAGTGGTGGACAAGAATTAGCCTCGAGCCCACCGACGTTGCGAAGGTGAGCTGAGGCGTTCTTGACAAATTCCGCGGCCAGGCAGGCAAAGGAGGAGTAGTAGTAGTGGTGGTGGCAGCTTTTTGAACGGATCAGGAGTCGTTCGCCCTTAGCCTGAAGCCTCTCGCCTTAGAGTTGCTGCGATCGTGGTCCAGCGAGCGCTGCCCCGGGTCTTAATAGGAATGGGCGAGAAGACTCAGTGCTGGACGCTGGCCAGGGTCATTGACAAGGACGGAGAGGATTGATTGTTGACCTCGTGCGGGACGAGAGTGGGCGCGGCGCGTATGGTCAAGGGCAGTGAACGTGGACCAAGACCCGATGTATTGGCGTGTGCGTGTGCATGGGCAGGCAGGCAGGCGGGCGGGCGGGAGCTGCAAGTGATCAGGATGTGTCTGACGGAGTTTCCTCGTTGCACTATGCAGCGACGAAACATTGCGCAAGTAATGCAGGCAAGGGTGCAGCGTTCCCAGGATGCCGAGATGGACTGCGCTGCGCCTGGGCCTGCGCCTGCGCCTGCGATCCCGTGCAGCCTCGAAGCCGGACAGACCCAGCGCAGCTCGCAGCTCGCTCCCAGCTACCAGCTCCTCCCAGCGGCGCCGGCCCGCCCGCTTCCCGAACCAGACAAGTGAACGTTTTGACACACGCTCGGGCGGCGTGAGCGTCGACGACGCCTCGGCCGTGCTGGGACCATGCCCAGTTGGGCCATTGCAAAAGCTGGTGCCATGCATTGCAATGGCAACGGCAGTGGCAGTGGCAATCATGGGCCTCTCCGCATCCCTGGCAGCATCGCATCGCATCGCATCGCAGAGCGGTATGGACGGATGTAGCGTGGCCTGGCGGTCAGTCGTAGTCAGGGCATCGACGGGGTGGGAGAAGAAGTGGGTTGTGTGTCGATCGGCGAGTCTGTCCCGCTGGCAGAAGGCTACGGTGCCCGGTCTGGCGCACGGCGCACGCGATGCTAACTGAATTCTGAGGTGCATCATGGCAGACGGCCGACGAATCTCTGAGCCTAACCTTATGTTGCTGACAGCTGGAGCGCGCTCGTTTGGGGACAGCGGCCAGCCTAGCTAGGATTGTCGAGATCATAGCCTACATGTGGCATCCATCTGCTGCAGCCGCGGCAGGCCGTTGTTGCCTGGGTCTTGGCCGTCTGCTGCTGGCCCTGTTTACCGCCAAGTTCGGTCGGGACAGTAGTAGTGGCAGCAGGACGCCGCCGTCGTTGACTCGCGAGCCACATCATAAACGACAGCCGAGCGAGGCATGCATGATTCGACCTTCCTCTGCCTCCTGATGTCCTGCAGCGAGAGACGAGCCGCAGCAGCAGCGACGCTCCCTCCCTCCCTCACCGCCCTGCCCTGCCTGTGGATTCCAATTAAGCTTGGTAGTCGTCTGCGTGCAATAATAGTGCAATTTAGACCAGGCATGAACGTCTGCCAATGAGGCAGCGTGTTGCAGATTGACCAGTGAAGTGCGCCGTACCACCGATCGGCGTCGGCTAACCAGGTGCACGGCACGCTGGTGCATCGCAAAATGGCAAGCGCAGACGCAGACGCAGACGCGATATTGCATGCACAACAATGCCCTGTCCCGCCATTACCGCGATTCTCGACCCAGACATGTCCCGAGAATCACATACTGTAGAAGCGTGCGAACAGCATCCACCATCATCGTACCGCGCCTGTGCCTGTACGGACTGCTACCGCCACCGCCGCCGCGACCACCACCACGACCACCACGACCACCACGACCACCGGCCTCGAGGCCTGCCGCACACGACAATGATAATGGCGCTGGGCGACGCCGACGCCGACGCTGACGATGGCGTCCGTGACATGTGCTGCTCGTCTCGCCGGGGAGTCTGAGATGGACTTTGACACATTATTGCAGGGCTCCTGCACCACGACATCGCTGCATGGGTATCCATCTAACAGCAATAAGAGGCCCAGAGCCATTGCACGGTGCATGTGCCCAAAGTCTCCACTTACGCCCTCCCCGCCCGCCCACGCACCACGCACCGTCTCCGTTGGCCCTGCCTCTGCAGCGGCCTCTGAGTCGTCCTCTTCACCACACCTTCTTCCCTTGTTGCCCCTACCACCCGGCAACATGGCTCGCAGCCCTTTCGCTCATCGCCGTCGCGCGACGCGGTCCTGAGCTCGCCCGGCACTAATGCTGTTGACAGGACACCGCGCGTGCCTGACAGCTCGGGAATGGCAGAGGAGGTGTGTGAAGGGGCCAGATGATTGGGCGTGTGTGTAACCCGCATAATAAAAGCATCGAGCTGTGCGAAGGCTCCATGGGCCGCGCCTGCGCCTGCGCCTGTTGCTGCCCATCTCAGACGCGCAGCTTTGTGTCGCGCTGCGTGACCATAGCCTGTCGTCAGTAGAACCCCATGATTGCCAGCAGGGATCGCAAGTGTCGCACTCCCAACACCACGGACCAGCTCGCCAGCGACCACGGCCAGCATGCTGCACCGAGCCTTGAGATCAAGATCGAAAGCCATGGCTGCTTGGCACTTGCGCGCTACCCTTGCTTTGCCTTCCCTCCCAAACTACAGGGCCCTCCCTCGCCCACCCGCCCGCCCGCCCGCCTCCCTCCCTCCCGTGGCCGAGTCCAACGTGGCAACGGATGTTTATGCTCTTCTGCGGTATGCACCAACACCCGCCTGCTTGGGAGCTTGTCGCCTCTGCCAGGTCACGAGGCCCGCCCGACATCTCTTCGACTCTTCTTCGACACTGAATCATTCCAACTTGGCCGCTGTGCTGCTTCATTCCGCAACCAGGGCATCCAACAGGATCTCGGCCGAGCATCTGCGAGATATGTTGAATGCGGACTAGTCTTCCAGGTTCCTGGGAACGAGAAATGCTACCTCGTCGATTATGTTGTGTGAAAAGTGGCGCAAAAGACAACATCTGTTTTGCTGCCTGCCAATTTATACATGCTACGCCATATATTGAACGTCATGTGTGCTATGCAATACCAACCATCCTGCTGCTGCTCAACAGCTTCCATGCGCCTTTCCGCGTCATGGAACGCACGCACACGCACTGACGATGAAGCAATCACGATGCATCTACCTTGATAAGCGCCCCGAGTTCAACGGGAAAGAAGTGCGCATTCTTCTTTCGCTCACGCTCGACGTGGAGAATATGTGCCACGAAAATGGGCTTAATCTATCCTACGGCCTGGCGGCACGCAATCGACATGCATCTGCGTGCGTGGTTCGCAGCGCACGGAATTCTGTCATCTTGGTTCAAACGGACTCCATCTTGTCACAAGATCACTTGTCAGCCCACACATGTCAGCCCAGGAGCCAGGCGAGTTCCATCCGTCGACTTCTCATCGGCTACCACCATCGCGGTACTGGAGTTCGTGGACCCGTCCTTGCAGAACTTGTGCTCCCACCCGCTTCAGACGCTGTCATACGTCGTGCCTTGTCACCTCGTCATGCTAGACGTTCGGTCGGCCAGCATAAGCAATGTTACGTTGTGGTGTCGCAAAAGAGCAAAGCGTGATGCAGGAAGCATAATTATTGCTCGATTGTGCCAGCATGGTCAAAGATTGGACGCCCAATGGATAGCTTCGTAGCTCGAAACGAGTATCACAATAGAGTGCCTTTACGAAGGTAACACGCACTGACAAGTATTCGACAGCCCGACAAATTCTGACAGGATACCAAGCGCATTGATGAAACCGACATATCTTCATCTTCCGCCATGTCTCATGATAACAATCCCAAACAACAGCAGACATAATGAGGCTTACCCAACTCGTGCCAGTGTGACCTCGACGGAACTTACGGTGACTGGCAGTCGTAGCGGTCTAGAATTGTGCGTCTGTGCGAGAGAGAACCACTCGAGACCATATCCAATTAACACCTTTCCTCTCAGGGCGATGCGAGCGTACATTCATTTTGTGCGCTGATACTACAATCTATACCTTTGCTCTGGGCTAGAGCTCCTTGCTGACCGACTCCTCAATCCCCGAAATCCAAAACTCCAGCGCCATGCTAATCGTATTCCATCATGCGATTCGTTTCGTCGTCACCAAAAGCTTACCATGGTCATCTAATCTAGCAAGGTCTTTTGCAATACACACGGTTTCATAAGGAGAAAAATGCAACCAAGGCCGAACTGAGGCCTAAATACACTGTCGATGTTCTTGGAATGGAGATGGAAGCAGTGCTTTCGTCAGGAGCAGTGGCGGGCAGGCTTAGACGAGCAGTCGCGCTGCCCAGTCCATTCAGCCTGTCAGCGGTTGAGATGCTCGGACCCATATTGAAGAAGTCCACAAGTAAGAAATTTGGGGCCTTGCCGTAAGCAGTCGTGCATTCGTCCGCAGAATCCCCGAGATTGCCAGTACCACCGCTGGGTGCGTTGGTGGTGGGAGCATACGATTCATTCGGACTTTGGATGTTGAAGATCTGCTGTTCGTACAGGAAGTGGTTCATCAGAGTCATGTAGCCTTGGCTCATTGCTGAGGCGGTCTGATTGGCAAGGCTACTTGGCCGATCCACGTCACAAGAATAGTCTGTTGGTGCAGTATTCTCGTAGCTGTTCTCGACGATGTAGGTGAACTCGTTCATGAGATATGGCGCGGCTGAATTGTCGTCTAGGGTCGCCACGAAGTTCATTGCTCTCGTGCCATTGCTGATGAGAGATTCAAGTGTAGGCCATGTGCTCGACGCCGAGGTGACTGCCGGAGTGTAGGAGTACGAGTCCAAGCCCGCTGAAGTGTATGCAGCTGCCAAATCTGAAGCACTCGCACTTGCGCCATTGACCAGCAAGATTGTTACTACCTCATTCGCGTTGGAGTCGAGCCACGTCTTGACTTCGGAGAGCCAGCTGCTCAGTGTTCCTGCGTCGAGCAGAGAACAACTTGTATGGCAGACATGAAGTGAAGTGCTGTTGTCCGGCGTTTGGACTTGGGCAGTCAACAGTCGCACACCAGCAGACAGCTGAGCAGAGGTGTTGTAGAACTGGTTGCCAGATGTCGAGTAGTCTGTTGAGGCATCGCGAAGAAACGGAGCATTATGAGTACCCAAATAGGTAATGTTGTTGTACTGCCTGGAGCAAAGGTCGGGGCTATTGTTGCACGCTGTCGAGCTCTGAGCCGAAACGCTTCGGATTGCTGCGGAGACGAGGAACAGGGCGCTCAATGCTTGCGAGCGCATGTTGACTTGCTGGGTATGGTCTGACGTGCGAAGTCTGTTTGGGTTCTACACAAGCAGGAATCGACGAAAATCTCCAGGAACGAGCGGATCGATCGATACCAAAACACGGGGCAGGAAAGATGGAACAGAGAAAGATTTCACGTTTGTTTCTGGGATGGAAGTGAAGAATGAAAGAGCCCGAGAATGGCTTCCTTTGAGACGCGAATTCGTTACTTCACCACTCACCACACGGGCAGTGCAGAGCCTTCTGTTTCGTAGACGTCGTCAGCACGAGCGGCGACGAGACACTAAAGATAGATGCCACGCAACAGCTTTCGAATGCTGCTGTATTGGCCTCGCAATGCCTTGGATCTCTACGTGACGTCTCCCCGAACGACGGCGCCAGCACCCTTTACAATGTGTGAAGATGTTGTTGATGATGAGATGTCGTTGGCGCCAGCAATGAAAAGGTCGACAAGGTTGGGTTAACGGCGTCGGCATGATGCACTGAAAGTTCAAGCGCCACCACAATCGGAGCTCAGCCACAGCGCGCGGATCGCGGCTGCCGAAACCTTGCCCTTGGCGCTAGGCTAGGCAGGGCTAGGCTTGCTCGCTCTATTTTCGACTTGGAAACACCGGACGCCTGTCTTAAGAATAACGCCTCTCTTCACTCTATACATGACACGACCGTCCACATGCTTTCAATCATCCTCAAACCCCGGCGTCAAACAGGTCTTCCTTGATGGCTCTGGCTCTGGTTCTTCGTCGACACTTCTGACCCACATGACATGGGCACTTGCTGCCTCCAAATACAGCCAGCGCTACCTATGCAATGGCGATCGCTTTCTGCCTGCAGACGCGCTCCTTCGCTTCAAGGGACTACTTCCGAGAGCAGCACCATGAGCAGCACTTCGACTCGACACGCACAAAGCGGTCAATGATCCTCCTTCGTCTTGCTGCACGAATCGCGTTTCGACACGAGTACGACAACAATGGCAGTAGTGCTTGATGTCGAAGGTTCGTGAAATGCAAATACATATTGGAAGAGCAACGCACTGGCCGAAAGCACTCCAACGTCAAGGCTTGACACCGGCGCTGGCCAACGGTTCACTTGCTTGCCAAGTAGCAATGGCGCAATGACTACGTTCGCTCCATGGCAATGCGCACCTGTTGAGCGGTACCCCTTCAAGCACGAGGACTGCACTGCCTCCACCAACCTCGAACGTGCTACGAATCGCTCCCTGTCGCTACCCATGTGCTCAACGGACTCTCCGACCTTGGAAGTAGCAGCAATTTTGGTCCGCGGAACCAGACCCGCGATGATCCATATTGTAACGTGCATATGCCTGCTTGTTCAATGCCAATCCAGAGGTCAGAGTCATTCACCCGCATGACACGGGTGCATGTGTGTTGCAGGCATTACCCACGTTCAACCCCAGCCGCATTTGCCATTGTGTCTCGGAAATGACAAGTACAATAGACGTTCTGCCAATGCCGAAGCCAACTTACCAGAACGAGAACTCGAAACAACGCCTCCACTTGATGAGCGTCCTGACAGAGATGACAGCCGGGGAAATATGGCAGCATTCCTGGTTGACAAGATGTTCTCGCCTCCCTGAAGATATCTTCCTTCCAGCTCATACTTGCGAGTAACTGACACATTCACGGGCCAGGAGCATATTGAGAAGTCCCTCGGATACCCTCACCCGCAATCGCGAGCGCCAAATCACTCCACCGACCAACAGATGCAGACTGGGAAGCACTTGATCGGAATTGTCCTTGTGATCCAAGTTTGCAGTCCGTTCAGAACCTCGTCCGCATCGATCGTGGCTGGAAGCAATTCGACATCAGGATAGCGGCGCATATCGCCTGCATTACTGGCCACCATGCTGCTTGCGCCACGTTCACCGTGGTGACGGCCTTCGGATCGACAGCCTTTTGTGACATGCGCGATTTGCCCATGACGGCCTTCTGATCGACTTGGCATTATTGACAGAAGAGTCGAGCTGCCATCAGCTTTGTGCATCAACCTTGACAGCTGGCTTCCATAGCGCGCCAATCGATAGCTTTCCCAGCCCACCGCATCTAATAATGACACGTCGGTCGGTGCCACATAAGGCGATTGACATACTTCGTCTGCCGCTGTACCTGTACGGAAAGTCAAAGAATGACAACTATAAGCTCCGATGACAAGAGCACACATTATTGTCATGATGCAACGCATTTGACACCGTCAAAAAATCACGACCGTTCATCAAACCTGCTGTCCAGCCCAGGCCTTGACAGACGGTCGATCCAATCATATTCTTGCCAACCGTCACTCATCACAACTTCCGGGCATCGCCTGCATCCGATGGCTTGGCTTTACTACGTTATATAAGTGACCATGGCTATATTGGTTTTACAATGATCGATCGGGGTTGATGAAGATAAGACCTTGGCCGACTCCCTGAACTGTACATATGTTCGTTGGCGATCGATAGTGATAAGTTTTTTTTTTGTGTCTTTTTTGGCTTTGATTGCTAACGTTACGGCTTGGACTGATTCCGTTGAATACACAATTCATGTTGCGTTCCGTGTCTGGCTCGAGTCATTCATGGCTGTCTTGTAAGATACCTACTTGCACCTGTCATCACCTGTTCGTAAATAGAGAGATCATGATGAGAGCTTCAAGTACGGTAACCAAAGAGGCATGGGAAGTAAACGTTGAGGGGATGTGTGTGCGCAGTACGATATATGCATATATACAAGCTACCTACCCATCTCGTCTGCCAGGCCAATTCGATTCATCATCATCGGTATTCCAGCTACTGCTCCGACTATGTCCCAGCAGACCAGCTTGGTCCTCTCTCCTCTCATCTTCTTCACGAAGCACACCTGCTCCACTGCCCAATCTGGCTTCCTCGCCCGCATTGAGCACATAATAAAGATCCTTCTTGGTGAGCAAACCGGCGAGAGCTCCGCGATCTACAAAAATCACATATCGTAAGCCGAGCTTCTGGAACATCTCGTTCGTCAGCTGGAGCGAAGTATTGCTTCGCATCGTAATTGGGGTCTGGTCCATCCAAGGTCTCAAGTCCAAGGTGACTGTGGGATCAGCGAGCGGTTGATGAGAGAAGTAGCATTCTGTGCTCACAGACAAGGCGCGGCCTGGTGCTGTGGCAGAGTCCAGAGCGTATTGTAATTCTGTTCGGGAAATGTAGCCGAGGAGGATTGCTTCTCTGGTATCGTTCACGACAGGAAATCCTCGGAATCTGTGGTCTCGAAGAAGGTCACGGAGACTCTCGATCGTGTGGTCGGCGGCCGTGATGCAGACGAGATCGTCGAATCTGGTCATGATTTGTGAGACGGGAATGTCTGGGACTGGTGTGTCGTCTTTGTTGTCTAGAAATGGGTAGCCTTGGAAGTGGATCCAGGATTCGTATATGCCTCTTTTGCCGAAGGCGTCGCCAACCCATTTCGAGAGCATGACTGCGACCATGATTGGCAAGACGTAGGTGAGTGCGCCTGTCAGCTCGAACATGATGACCACTATGGAAACCGTCATGCGTGTTGCGCCTGCAAGGGCTGAAGCGGCACCGACGACGGCGTATGTGCCAGGTGTAACGCATGGAATATCTGGTTCGCAGGCTGCAAAGGCGATGAAGCCAGGGTGATCCTTCTGCCAGACTTCGACGATGAGTCCCACGACACGGCCATAGAGGGCGCCGACTGTCATCGATGGAAGGAGAATACCAGCTGGTATCTGGAGTCCGAAGGTGATGGTTGCCAGGACGAATCCAATGAGACTGGAGACTAGCAGAATGAATATGACGCCGGTATTAGCAGCGCCATCCTTGCATAGTCCGAGATAGTCGTCTTGAATATCTCTACATTCAGCGAAGAGATGTTCCACCAGCTCGCTGCTTTGTGCTCGTAGGAATGTGACCGGAAAGCTGATCAGAGCTGTGACGAGCGCAACCATAATCACTTCGACCACCGGCTTCTTCAAGAGAGGATTGCTTTTGGAAGTCCTCCACTCAGCAACTTTCATGTTCAGCTTGATGAACATAGCGCCATAGAGGCCGCCAATGATGCCGATTATTGCGAACGGCAACAGTTCAAAAGCATGCCAGCCGCTGTGATAGGTGACTTGATACAAGACGAGCTGCCCAGTCCTGAAGGGATCGAACGCCTGTAATGTGAAAGCTGCAACCGTAGCGCAGACGAAAGAGGCCCACATGGTCTTGTCCGGAAAGTAGTAGCTCAGCGACTCCAGACTGAAGAGCACGCCACCAAGTGGCGCGCCAAAAGCAACGGAGATGCCAGATGCCGCAGCCGCTGACAGCGTTTCTCTCTTTCGTGCTTCATTGCCATTGATGCCGTCGAACAGCTTCATGAAGACATTGGCACAGCAGCACGCCACATGTACAAGTGGTCCTTCCTTACCCAACCACATGCCACTTGCGACTGCTACACACAAGCCGAGCGTCTTGACGACCAGAGTCCAGCCTCCGAGAAAGCGACGAATGACAAAGCCTCCTAGCAAAGTCTTGATCTCTGGTATGCCACTTTGCTTCGCATATACCGAGTATCGGTTGACGAGCAAGCTGGCCATGCTTGCGAAGAGCACCGAGAACAACACAAACATGATGTACTCAATGATATAGCTGCCGCCTTTTTTCATAACGCCCATCATGGCACTCCAGGGGCGCCAGTCCGGACATTGAGCATAGCTCTCAATGCCCCAGCAGCAGAAGACCTTATTCAAGTAGAATGCGCCTCCATTCTCCACATTACTGCACATGCCAGTTTTCATGTCTCCGAGCCAAGCACTTGCAACATCTATGCCCGCTGCGATGCCGCCGACCGCGATGCCGGTCGCGACCAAGATAAGCCATATCTGAGCAGAGTCGGCCAAGATACGTATTTGTCCCAGCACACCTGGGCTATTTGCGTGCAATTGCCGTAATCTCGTGCGCTCTTTCCCATACTCGAAGATCCAGTCTATCGCCGTGAGGTTGTCGTAGCCTACTCTTCTTCCCGGTCCTTCGACGTACCAGTCCAAAGTGCTGGGGTCCTTTGGCTCGGTGAGGCTCGTGCCGGCATCTGCGGCTGTATTGAGGTAGGAGAGAATCGTGTTCGGCGTCGCGATACCAGCGCGACCATTTCGGCGGGGTGGAGATGCGGTATTGGCGTCAGGCGTGGTCGGTTGGCTGCTTCGGAATGGCGAGGTTAGGAAGAAGCGCGACACAAAAGACGGCTTCGTAGGTTTTGCTTTGCGCTTGAACGATATGCCTCCATCTAACCCGCCATTGTTGTGCATAGGGTCGTCAGCCAGCAGCTCCTCATCGTGGGGCTCGAGTCCATTCTCGGAGGCATCGCCATCACCGTGGAGAGGCGACGTCCCGCTGGAGGAAGCTATGGCGGGCGCATTGGCTGGTCTGTCAGATGACGAGCTTGACATGCCGCATTGGCATTGGCTATATTCTCCTGCTATCTGCGCATAATTCTACAGCATCGCGAAAGACAGTTGGTGAACTTGCTTCGGCTTCACATGCTCAGCCTCTCCCGGCGCTAGTTCCCGTGCGCTGACAAGGTTGAGCGCACAGACCGTCTGCATTTGGTCATGCATAGAAGTGGCACGGAATCTTACCCTCTCTCTTTGTACCAGCAACATCGACATCACGACGCCAAGATCACCGGCTATGAATCTCCTCAAGGAATTCTGGACGAGGAAGCCCGCTGAGAGCCAAAAAAAAAACAATAACAGACGTTTGAACTCTCAAACATGGCGATAAAATGCGATCGCCATTCCGCTCACCATGATACTGCATCACAGTCCACAAAAGAACGCTTCGGGGCGTCATTTCCATACACCGTTTGGCCTATGATTTGATCACACAAAGTCCGGCTTCCCCTGCCCGGGTTTCGCCAGCTGCGTACGAATCACCTCCACAATATCCTCTTCTGGAAGTTCAAGAAAATCATTGTCTAAGCGACCAGCGTAATCACCTCCCAGATCCTTCTTGAAAGTACAATAGTAAATCAGATCAAGCATGCCAGAACGGTCTCCCTTCGCGAGCATCGCATTGCCATCTTCGAGAAGCACGTCAGTTGACTTGCGCTCAACGTTCCAGTCAGCCTCTGTGGTGTTGGTGGCCTTCAAGATGGCATCGAACCACTCTTGGTGAGTGATGCGGAAGGACGTGATGTAGAGGTCATTGTCGGCGAAACGCTCGTCGATTGTGCTTCTAGGCAAGGCTAGCATCGCCGCGATGCCTCGACCGACTTGGGCCAGCGAAGAGGTACAGAAGTGACCACTGTCCGAGTATATCGTAGCTTGTCGCTTCTCGACGTCAAAGCCAGCCAAGCCGAACTCGATAGACTGGAGTCTGTCAGCCAATTCCGGATCTCAGTACGAGTTGGAATCTTACATAGTCAATCCATAGATTCGTAACGACCCCAATTGGTTTCATTCCCAGCTGTTTGATCTTGTCATTCATAGCAGCAGACTTCTTGGCCAAGGGCATGGTGTTGTAAAGCTTTGGGTTGCTCATATCCATGCCGTACGTGGAAGGCATGATGTATTTGACTCCAGCACGAGCAGCTACTTCCACGAGCTTGTCCTGAACTCCCAGGCCAGTAAACGCAAGCATGATGATGAGCAAATCCTGCCCAGCCAATGCTTGTTGCAGAAAGACTTCATCGTCGTATTGGCCGACATGGATTTTGATATTGTCTGATGTCGGGATGTCTTTTGGCTTGGACCTGGATATTAAGGTAATGTTCTGCTTAGCTTGATCTACCAGAGCCTTCAGAGTGTGTCGTCCCAAGTTCCCAGTCGCGCCAATGAAGGCGATGTTTTGAAGCACATCAGACATGATGGTTCGTTGTACATAGGAGCATGCGTGATCGCTGTGTCTTCACCATTCACAACTGGTGCCATAGCCATTGTTTTATGTTAATTTGGCCATACCACCAGACAGGCGAACGGTGATACAAGTCCTCCTTCCCGTGTCCTTGGGTGACAAAGCCATGCCACTTTAACTCCGTTCGCTCTGTAAGCAAGTGAGCCAACACAAAGCTATTTAATGCTTGAAGTGCAGCACAGCATTCCTGTGTTGCTAGACGGCATTGGGTCTACAGCTCCTATTGGTTGTTCGTGGTAGGGTCAAGGAGACATGAGCTTTGTATACTGGTTGACATATCGATCAGCTCTTCGGCAGAATTCCCATGTCGCATGTCGAGAGTCTCTGTAAGGAGTAACACGACGCGACACGTGCTACATGTGTCTTGCGTTTTGTGCTTCGACTCATTACGAGTTCGAACTCAATGAGGTCCGTGATCCTGTCGGTCGTCGGTCGCCCTCAACCCTGAAATTGCTTCATCAGCGTTGGCGTTCAGCGAGATGTTCATTATCAAGATCTGACACCATCCAAAATTCGTCGATTCCGTAATGCTCTGGCGAAAGGGATTTTCGGATGTAGTTGAAGCAATGGAGATTATGGTACATGCTCGGCGAGACCCAGAACAGGTCCAAGACCCGTTTTTCGTAGCGATTCGTGCTTCCAGACTTGGTTGATCTCGTCGCCTGGTGCTGCTGCAAACGCCGAACCATTCGGATCCTGGGGAGCCATATGGGTTCTTTCTGTGGCATCGACAGAGTCCGCTCTCAAACGCCGATGAACTTGATTTACATGTTCAGCAGAGACAGTCGCCATCTCGTCAGCAGTCCCAGTGCCGAAGATCTTCGCGTGAAGATGAACATCACAGGCAAAGCTCTATATGATCCAGTCCAGGTCCCCGAGGCGTGAAGAGAAAGTCAACGTCTGGCGATCCCGTGTCGGATTTCAGCTTACTATTCGCCTCGCCGGCACAAAACATCAAGCGTTGGTTCTCTCACATGTTAGCCGGCCTGCCCACGCTGACCATCCATCGTCTCCAAAGAGATGTGATCAATCGGGAGTAAGTCTGGTTATGGAAGCACAGACCTGACTACGGATGTTGAAGCACCATTTCATTCCCAGGTTCTGCTCAATCCAGCCATGCGTGTCAGTACGCACAAGGATCCTCAACTGATGTTTTCCCGATCAGGATATCCCTCCGTGGTTGGTAGTGCTCAAATTCCTAGCGCTGATTTCGTCTGCTGGGTTTAAGACATCTCGCCCTGGTTACGCGCACGCCGCTCATCCGTGGAACTTTGTAAAAGTCCGGGTGAAGTAAATGTTGCTCCACAAAGACGGCTCTCAAATTCCTTTTGAATGGTAGAAGATGATGTGTCGCTCTCCGCTGTTGCGCCCGGAATTGACTCACTTCGAGTGCCCAGGTGTCTTGCACTGTTCGCAGGAATCTACAATCATAGAAGTCTCTTGGCTAGACCTACAGCACCCAGTGCGGCACATCCGCCCAAAGCGAGGATCCAGCTCGTCGGTGCTGAGCTCCCCATTGATTCTGCCACGCCGTAGACGACACTGTTTGTCAAGCCGGCCAAGATTTGGGGTAGCGACACAGCGATGCCGTAAACGCCAACCGTCGTTCCTGCTTTTGAAAGGCCCTCCGTTTTATCTTCGTCTTGTTCCGCAGCGGGTCTGTCAATCTTGACATCCTGTCCGATGATCGCAAACGGCACCCACTGACTTACAGCCCAAGAAACGCCACACAATGCAACCAGTACAGTGCCAGAAAGCTGCGAGCCCATCATTGGAGCGGCCAGCAAGAGAAATGCGATCCATCCGAGAGACCACGTCAGACACTGATGAAGCAGGTTTGACTCCTGATCGACAATACCCTGAGGATTGGAATGGGCCTTCTTTTGTACGTTGAGTCGCCATGATAGCGTCATTGGCAGCACGAGACTTGCCGCAAGCCCTATCACGGCGAAGCACATGCTGGCAAACGAGCCGGCCTGCGCCCCATCTCCTGGATTCACGTTCGCTCTAGCACGTTGAGGCTTTTGTAGCTCCTGAATATATGTTGTTGTTCCGTACAAAAGAGAGAACCAGGCAAACCAGGCACAGAACTGTACCAGGCATATGCTTTTGATACGTTCAGGTAAGGACCGTAGGCTTTCCCGAAATTGCAGGAGCAGGACCGAGATTCCAGAATCTGTGTTGGTCGCAGGAAGAATAGAAAGTCGTGTGTCTGGCTCTTGGATGCAAGTACAAATCAAAATTGATGTTGTTGCAAGGACCATCGAGTTGAGAAAAGCCAAGATCTGGAACTGAGTTGCAACCTGCTCAAGGTGGAGCAATGTAGGCAGATTTAACGAGCTGGCCCAGAGACTGACGATTCCTGTCAGTCCAGCAACCCGACTCGCCCATGCGCTCACTCTGTTTTGCTCCTGAGCCGGCGCTTGTTCTATCATCAAGCTTCTGACGCCAGACTGCAATGGCTGCACGGAGACAGTCATGATAATCGTCCACAAGATCGCTCCAGCTTGAATAAGGTGCCGAACTGGGAGCTCGTTGTCGCCACAGCTGCCACTGGAACACGCTATCGCTCGGAGCAAGACCCGTTGCCACGCCAGCATCAGCAACGCTATGGCGGTGATAACAGCGCCAATCAGGATGAAAGGCCTCCTTCGGCCCCAGCGAGAACGCAATCGATCGCTCACAATACCTGCAATGGGTGCAACGACACATCCCGACAAAGGTCCAGAAACCAGAATGATAGAAACAAAAGACTTGGAGATGCCCAGATCGTGCAAGAATAGCTGTTGAGCCTTAGCTTGAAAAGTGTCCATTGCCGAAGGGAACATTTACTCACGGGTAAATTTGCCATCACGGTGGACCAGAACATCTGTAGACCGCCAGTCCCGCATGTGAGGATGAGAAGCCTGCCGATTGAGAGCGGACGGTCAGTCCTGTGTAGAGGGGTTGGTAAATCATCTTTCTCCGCGATACACTGCGTTTCGAGGACGCATTGTGAACTAACGGCCCTTCGATGAGAAGGAGGCCGCATATTGTGGTGATGTGCGACAAGGTGAGAAGTCGGCAGCAGAGTGGCAGTAGAAGATTGCAGATGCCGTTGGTGTATGAAAGCAGGGTGTCTGGCAAAGGTGGGTTGGGGCGCAGTGGGAGTATCTCGATTCTCGTGTGCTGCCGCTGCCACCGCAATCAGACATCCTGATCGGGTGATCCTAAGCTCTGAACCATGCAGTAATAATTTCCCTCGGAACTCAAATTCGGCAATATTCATTTTGCGATCCAAGCTGTGGACATGGGTCAGCTCCTATTTCAACGATGATTATAACCTTCTTCTCGTTGTCGTATTGTGCCATATCAGGATCAATCCGAATCTTGCCCATTGTGCTTGCGATGGATCCTGACTCCGTTCAATAATGTGGATCGGATGTTGCGGTTCTCTAGGGTGGTGTCTTGGTAAGCGGTCGTGTCAGCGTCGGAGGCGAGCTATCTTACGGAGAAAGAGATTCCGAATCCCGTCGTAGTAGAGAATAGGGATAGTTAGATAGAAATGCAGTTGCACGATACTCCGCTACGACGCTATATGCCTTAGAAAGGCAAAGGTATTAATGTCCTTTAGTTTAAGGGGTATAATTATATAGAAGTTTTCGATATAGAGGAGGATCGGACGATACTTGTTAATGTTTTAGAGGAATATGTTAAGGGCAAGTAATTTGTTAACTTTTGTAATACCTAGGCGGAATAGATAGACGATAGATAGCGGTTTACTATAATAGCTTAATAGGTAGTATAGTAAGGTAACTAAGTACTAGCCCTCTTTTTAGTAGCGACTACGAGGTATATTAGGTAGATAAAGGCGGGTCTTTAGTACTAGGCTAATGTTAGTATAGGCTAGAATTATTATATAGACAGAATCTAACGCCCTCGTCGTCGCTAGACTATTCCTAAATGCCTTTTTAGCCCCTACTCCTAGTCCCTATATAGCGTCTTTATATATCGGAGTAGAATTGTATATCTACGGTCCGCGGCGCTTAGTTATCTAAAATCTAGGATTAAGGAATTAAGCGCTTTTATTCCGATGCAACTAGAGGCTATATAGTAGCGATAGTATAGAGCCCGCCGGCTCTTAGGATAGTGTAGCCTTAATGTAAATAGTAAAGAGGCTAATAAGCTTAGTAGTATAGTATCTAGAAAGACAACATTCGAACGGACCGTACCTACCTAATGCTATCTTAACGCCTATCTCTAGCGAGCCGACGTAAAATTGCTATGCCTATCGGCGACCTCTCTCTTATAGTCCGAGTTTATATAACGCATTAGCTTAGTTATATAACTGTTAGATAACTTCTTAGTATATAAAGTTAACGAAGCTAATTAAACCGCTAACAATGTAGTATTACGTAAGTAATTAACTGCGCTATATGTAATAGTTTATACTATCGTACTATAAACTTGCCCTACCTACTACTACCCTTCTTAGTAATAGTACTAATAGTAGCGACAGGATCGACGATAGCGATATATATGCAAACATTATTTAGTCGAGCTAATATAAGCGACGTCTAGTAAATAACCTAGGGGGAAGAAAAATCTATAATAGGATATAACGACGCTAATTAGAAAAGCGATAGTCTATAGTATCGAAGGATTCTAAAGAATTCTGCTAACAAATTTCCGGTTTTAGACAGCCTAGAATAGGTTTTAGAACGAGGCTAATACGACGGTGTCGACTTGCCCTAATTAACAATTTCGAGGTCTTAATAGGAATTTAGTTATTACCTTTTATACTACGCTAATAGGGAAGACGGTTTATTTTTTTTCTTTTCGTTATACTACGCGGCTCGTAGGTTTAGTTCTACCGAAACACGCGCTAAATGTCTAGAGATGCTCTAGTCCTATTAGCACCTTTCTCTATTATATATCCTCTAAAACTCTACCCCTTATAATAATAACACTAGAAGTTCCTAGTTCCCTAATATGTCTTCTAACCTACTAGGAAAATGCTATACTATTAGCGTTAAGCACGAAGGCGAGGCGAAAGGAAAGCTCGAGACTATCGGTAATAGTATAACCCTCTATACCCTCTTTAATACCTTAATCTAATAATGCAAAAACAAAAAGTCTTAACCTATATCGTTAGCCCTAAATCCTCTACCGCAATTCTTATTCTTACTAATATTATCGGCTATAAATTCCTTAACGCCTAACTTATCGCCGACTAATTCGCCGTAAATAGGTACTACGTTATTATACTAGACTTATTTAAAGGGGATTCCGTCCTACTTAACTAGCTAGGAGACTTTAATATTAGATAGCTAATAAGGGCGCTAACTCAATTTCCTAGGTCTAGCGTAACCTTAGTTTTATAATTGTTCCTATATATATCCCCTACGAGACAGGTATATATAATAGCTAGCACAATATCGATAGTCTTACGCCGTACAAGGCTAATAGTTAGTACGGCGCTTATTCTTTTTTCGAAGGTTAGCCTATAGAGGTAGCGTTAGCTACTAAGAGGTGTTTCTTATATTCGGCGGAAGTACGGTTAATCCGGGCCTAGTCCCTAGGTTTGTCGCATTAGCCTAGTAGATAGCTAGTACTATTATAGTTAAAGTACTTTAACCCGGTTAGTAGATTACCGTAGCTATTGCTATTATTGTTAGCCGAGCGGTTAGTACTATAGGGATACGAGCCCCTTCTACGGCCCCTATTACGGCCTCCTCTATATAGCCGTCGGCTACGGCCTTTTCTACGGTTATTACTATTCCTACTATTAGTATTATTATTCTAGTAGGAACCTTAGTTTCCTCCGCGGGCACTACGGTTTCTACGGTTAGTACTAGCTAGTCGGATCCTCGCTTCTAGTCGTTACTAGAGCTAGACAGCTCGTTTAGCTATTTCTACTTCGACTATAAACTAAATACGCGTTAGATTAGCCTATTCTAATTGCGAGCGAAGCTCGCCTTATAATAACGAGGGTACTATAGTAGCTAAATCGCCTAAGAAATTACTACGTAATTCCCCGGATTTTCAAAGCTAAAGATCTAATTAGCTGTATTCTATACGAACTAGTAGGACGGAGGAACCTAGCTTCCGGGCATATTACGTGCCTTCCTTTTACGTTACTTCCTTTAAAGCGCGACAATAACAATGCGCTAACACTACCGTTAATACGCAACAACTAGCGACCTATAACGACTAGCGACCTGCAACGACTACGACTAGCGACCTATAACGACTAGCGACCTATAACGACTAGCGACCTGTAACGACTAGCGACCTGCGACCTGTAACGACTACGACTAGCGACCTGCAACGACTAGCGACCTACAACGACTAGCGACCTGCAACGACTAGCGACCTATAAGGGTATATAAGGCGGAAGCTTCGCTCGCACTTTATAGGCACGCGGAGCCGCCTATAAGCACATATTATACGACGGCGGTCTAATTCGAGGATAAGTTCCTATCTAAGCTTTAGGCGTATCTCCGAGATCTATATAGAATTAGTCTTAGCCGGAAGGTCGTCTTCGAGAGTCTTTAAATAGGCCTCGAAGGAGCGAGCTAACTAATTAGTCTTTTGCTTAGCTCGAAGGTACTAGTCCTAAGCGTATTGTTGCCCTAGTATAGGGTTTCTAAGGGTGTCTAGTATAATAGTTTTGTAGGTTTGCTACTAAATAGCGGCCTAATTAGTAAGGGAGTTAAAATAGTCGTCCTAGGTACGCTTTAGGTCTCTATTAATATACTATATAGTATAGACGACTAACGAATAGTCGTCCGGAAGGGCCCTCGGTACATTTCGCTAGTTAAGCTTACAGTTACGAATATAGTCGTTATATTGCTTTCGACTAGAGCTATTAAATACGGTATAGTCCTTAAGTTTTGCATCCTTCTTTTAAATAGCTAGTAAGGAAGGCCCTACTATTAGCTTAGTATTAGTCGCTAGGGACTCCTATAGGCGGCGGATCTCGAGGAGATTATCCTTTAGCTATTATTCTTAGCGTAGAGCAGCGAGCCTATTCTAGGTAGCTTCTTAGAGTCTCGCTACTAGCTAGGGGCTAAAGGCTAGTTAGCTATATAGACGGTTAACAATATTGCTAAGAATGTCGTTAATAGGCAATTCTAGATTATTACCTAGAACTATAGGTTCTTCGGTAGGCCTAATAGTAGGCTCTTTAGTAGCAGGCCCTTTAGTAGGTGCTTTAGTAGGCACTTTAGTAGGCACTATGCTACTAGCGTTGTCGTTGCTAGCGCTGCTAGCGGCGGCACGGTTGTTATTAGTTTGTAATAAGCCGGCTATTATAATAAGGGTAGCACTAATAATATATTATAGCCCCTAGTAGTGCGGATATAGCGGAATTAGTAGGTATCGGACTAGTACGATTAACTTAGTATAATAGGCCGTATAGAAGGCCTTGCTTAATAATTAGTACGGTTGTTTAATAGAATAGTACGTATAGGTCCCGTTCTTTAGGCGTAATATAGTTAGATCGACGGTTTTCGTAGCTATACCGCTAAAAGCTTAAAATAAGGACTATCTAGCTACTACCCTTAAAGGGTAGATCGAATACTATATAAGAAGGGTTATATTAGCAGGTAGATAGGGTAGTAGTAGGTATAGGTAGTATTCGATAGAGATCTAGGAGGAGAAGGAGGAAGGCAGGCTAGTTAGCCTAACGCTAAGCGCTAAGCCCTGCCTAAGGCACTAAGACCCTAGCTTTACTCGGCCTAGTTATATACTAATTACGTATAGCCTCTTTAGTCCTAATAATAGATCTTCGGAAGTTGTAGTCTTACTCGAGTCTAAGTTGTCCTTACTAGGTACTTTCTTCGCCTTAGTAGATTTTATAGATAGAGCTTTAGTAGACTTAGGCTATCCGGCTTCCGTTAACTTAGTCGATTTCGCGGATAGAGCCTTAGTAGACTTAGGCTATCTAGCTATCGGTTTCTCTAGCGTCTCGGTAGACTTAGTAGATTCCGTTAGCTAAGCCTTAGTAGATTTAGCCTATATAGCTATCGGGGCGTTAAGCTTAGTCTT